CATTCTGCAGGGCGTACCTTGAGGCCATCTGTGACGGGAGACAAGTTAGCTCTAGCCAAAAGAGCGTCCAGGAATGCATCCCAGATGATAGACTAACTATCTATGGCACTTGAACATTGACACGTGAGAGTTCCTAAGGACGGCAAGGGATGCTAGAAAGATTTAACCTGCGTCCGAGGACACTCCTTATGTTCGCGCAGACTGCTTGTGTCAGTAATTGTGCAGCTGGCAATGGAAATTGGTTCCGAGACATGCAGACGGAGAGAAACCCACCTTCTGAGATGAGGAAGTTGCTGACCGAATGAGGTAATAACATTCTTTTTCAGAGGTGATAGACATTGACCTCTACCCCTTCTTGATTAACCCACATGTCAACAACGCCAACTTCTGCAGCTCATTTCCGTTACACTCTAGCGCTGCACTTTGAAGTCTTACACGGAGCCGTGTCTTCATCATGCCTCGAAAGGTGTATAAAAGTGCGGCCTGCGCCGGGTGAAGCCAAGTTTTGAGGGTGACACCTTGATACATTGATTGTCTATTATCCCATATTGTCATTACCTGAGAGAAAATCACTCTTACTCTTTCAGGCATGATAGAAAGCCATATCAAAGCCAGATCAAGCATGATGTGGGGTGCTCAGGCCAGCAACGAATCCACTTCCAGTCAGCCATGTTGTTCCGTCTTCTTTTATACCATCTCCGCTGACCAGATTAGACTCTTCTATTTGCAATAGCTGCGTTCCATCGCCCGCACCTGATGAGGTTCTAGTCGAACTAAAGTATTCGGGTCTGTGCCATTCCAATATTCATGCATGGAAAGGTGACTCTTTCAGCCTTATTCGTCGTGGTGCGATCTGACTCAGAAACAGGCACGCCCTCAACCATCAAAAGAAAAAAGCGCGTGGGTACGTTCTCTAACCAGCTCACCTAAATCCTGCTAACAAGAGGCAAGAGGGACATGAGGGCACGGGCATCGTGACGGCTATTGGGAGTGAAGTAGAAGACATCAAAGTTGGAGATCATGTGGGCGTGCAGGTATATTCCGTTCCCAGGCTTTCACAACTGCTGAAAGCTAACATAGTAATAGTGGGTGAACAAAACTTGTGGTGTCTGTGAGGCCGACAAGCGGGCCGACTTTCTGGCTTGTTCTAAAGCCCAAATGACGGGCTTCTCTGTTGACGGTACCTTTGGCACTTGCTGCGTCATTCAAGCCCGTCATGCTGTCCGCATCCCTAAGGAGTATCCCCTCGACACCGTGGCACCTATAATCTGTGCCGGAACTACATGCTTCAGAGCTGTGGAAGAGACCGGGGTAGCAGAAGGCGACATCTTGGGTAAGTGCGACAAGGTACCAAAAGTACGTACCTGGTTTGTAGTCACTGACTGGTACAAGCTGTTGTTGGACCCGCAAGTGGCATCGGATCACTGGCATGCCAGTATGCTAAAGCCCATGGTTGCCGGGTACTTGCAATTTCCACTGGAGGTGAGGGTCAGATTCTATACAAGGACAATCTCCGGGTTGACTTCTATGTGGACTACCATACATCCCAAGACATTGTTACGGAAGTCCGAAAGCTGACCGTCGGTGGTCCTGACGCGGCCATTATGATCGATTGCACCGAAGCACTTCTAGAGGATACTACTCGGTATGTTCGGCCTCGAGGCTCTATTGTTGTTGTGGGGAAGCCCCCAGGAAAAACAGGAGGTTTGGACATGTCTAGCCTGCTGCTGCGAATGGGTCAAATCAAGTCGTCTCCCTACGGCGGTTCGAGAGAGCAGATTGAAAAGGCTATCGACATATTCGTTAAGAATAAGTTCTATCAGCCTTCCCATGTTATATCACTTGATCATCTACCCCGATTGCTTCAAGCCATTCACCAGGAAGACCCCGAGAATCATTCTCATAGGCCAAGCTCACGATACGAAAGTAGCTTGCTGGGGCAGGCAACAGTCAAGATCCCTTCGTTCAGTGACAACACTCGAACCGAGGAGACTTTCCCAGAGCCTACATTCTATCAAGAGAGCTTCAATATCAGCACCTACATTGCGTATCGTTTGGAGGGGCTCGGAATTCGCGACTTCCTAGCTGTGCCTGGTAAGAGCCTTGCTCAAGTTAGTGGTTTTGCTCTACTAAATTTTTGAAGGGGACACAAACCTTGTACTTCTGGATAACCTGCTCAAGAATCCCAACCTCCGAATGATTGGGTGCTGTAACGAGCTCAATGCAGGTTACGCAGCAGATGGCTACGCCAGAACTTCGCCCGCGAAGATCGCCGTTCTTATCGTACCATATGTGGTAGGGGCTCTTTCAGCCCTAAATGCAGTGGCAGGCGCTTGCTCTCAAAACATCAAGATCATCGTCCTCTCTGGTTGCCCAACAACAGGGATGCTTGCTAGTGGGAAGTTCTTGCATCATGCACCTAGCGCAACGAACAGAGAACAAGCTCTCGATGCCTATCGGGGCGTCACTGCCGCCTCTATTCGTCTTCAATCAGCAGAAACGGCTGTTCAAGCCTTGGATGACGCTATAAGCAAGTGTCTCGCGTCCTCTCTTCCCATTTTTATTGAAGTTCCCAATGACATTGCAAGAGCTGCATGCTCCCCTCCTTCTCCGTTCAGAATATCTAAGACAATAACCCAAACTCGCAGAAATGAGGAAGCCGTCAATGCTATCACTGGGGCTTGGAATAAATCGGAGAAGCCCGTCCTCCTCTTTGGGAGCCTTGCGCGTCGTCTGCTTTCCGCGCATGACGTTGAAGCTCTAGCTGATAGACTCGGCTGTGCCGTATTTTGCCAGCCCGATGGCCGCTGCATATCTGAATCTCACCCGCAGTATTGTGGCGAATTATGGAATGGTCTGACAAATCCGGAAGGAGAAAAGGTCTTCATGGACTCTGATCTTTGGCTCATTGTCGGGGCAAACTGGTGCGACTTTCATTGTATCTTCACCAGCATTGACGAAGAAAAGAACCGCATGATCAGCATCGGCAAAGATTGGGTCGAATTGCCCGATGAAACATGCTTTCAAGGCATAGACTTTGCCGCGGTGGTTAGACAACTTACCCGATCATCGATGGAACCCAAGCACAAGTCAGTTCCAAGGCCAAAGCCGACCCTGGGGGCAAAGCCTCCACAAACAGAAGACCTTGAGGCTCCTTTAACATTGGAGCATGCTATGTACGGCATTCAAAACATTCTGCGAAGTGATGACACAATGCTTTGTGACGCAGGAGAAGCTTGGTTTCTTGCTAATCATATACGGCTTCCTCCCGGCACAGACTGCCAAATCCAAATGCCGTATTGCTCCATTGGTTGGGCATTACCGGCTGGACTTGGCGCTCAGCTTGCCCGCTCGCGGGGCCGTTCGATCATTCTGATCGGCGATGGTGGGTTCCAAATGACGGCACAGGAGGTCAGCACCATTGTTCGTCAGCATTTGAATCCGATCATCATTATTTTCAACAATCTTGGCTACAAGATCGAGGTATGTAGCGTCGTCAGATGTTCCCTCGCATTCACTGATCAATCTCCCTTAGACGGCCGTCCACGATGGGCCATATAACTACATCTCCAACTGGAACTATTCTCGGCTGGCCGCTTCTTTATCCGCAAGCCCTCATGCATCCTCTCATAACCCTTATGCGACTAAGAAGCAGGAGTATATGGAAAGTAATCCGTCATTGTTCACCCTGCAAGTCAAGACGCAGAGAGATCTCAAAGTGGCCCTCAAGAGAGCATATGACGAGCACGATAAGCTTGCCTTTCTCGAGCTGTGCGTTCAACCGGATGATTTGAGCCAGGAGGTACGTCAGCTTGGCAAAGCATTCGCGCAGAAGAATGCCGAAGAATCCTCTGGGTCGCCTGAAAGTTCTGCTTCTAAGACGCATAACGCAACGACAAGCGGTTCCAGCAGTCCGAGAGTCAAGAGTCCTGTCAACGCGTCAATAAAAAACATCTGTGACCAGTCTTTGCACTTCAGCAATAAGTGAAGATGAATCTGTGCAGAAAGGGGACGACGACGCCGGATCCGCCGGACCTCTTGGTGGACTAATGCTTCTCCATGAAGTCAAACTGACTCGCAACCCTAAGATAATTTTTTGCGGGAACTGCGTACTTCATTACTCCTTTCTCGTGGATTTCTCACACAAAACGTGATATTTGAACGCCTGTGGATGCGGTGCCGTATGCTTCGCTCTTTTGGCAATGGATGTCTGATAATTTCTATGGTAAGAAGCAGAGTGAGTGGACTGAGGTGGTGTTGGAGGGGGAGTCGGAGGATCAAATTGTCTTATTGTCTTCCAATATTTGGCAGGTTTGTTCTTTGGTTGTCTTGTATCGACACAGTATCGTTGTTCAGTGAGATTCCAAATCATAAATGTGTAGATTTTGCTTCGTGTCATGTTCAGGTCGCAGCCAAGGTAGCTCTCTCACCTATTTGTCTCCATACGTACGACCAGCATATTTCAAGGCTCGAAGTCTGCAAAACTGCCGTTTATAGTTCCACTCGTAAGATGATCGGTTCTCCATTCCTTATCGTTTCTCCAGTCATACTTGGAGAAAGGAATCAACACGGTTCTTGAGTTCCTGCTAATCAGTGAATTGGCCCGTGGGCGGCAAGTAGATAGTAAAAGTGTCTTGGTTCAGCAAAGCTGGATTTGGATAGATGCCAGTCAACTGAAGGTGTGGATCCCATGTCAACTCAGGTATATTCACAGAACACCGGGAAAAGGAGGGAAGTGTTCGTAGTTCCTTACACGCGTCTCTCATCTTTCTCGCTCGACTCTTCAACAACCGGTAACACCTCAACTCCCTCTCCATCTGCATCAACGTCCTTGTAAAACCTTTTCATCAACCTCTCTACGTACCTTTGTACTATCGTGTCGGAAAGTGAAGCTCACTTGAAAAAATTCTCGCTCTTTCCCCTTTTTCCCTGGTATCGGGAATTACTTTGCGGACATTTCTTCCTACGTTGAGGTTTCCTACCCCTTCTGGTTCTTCATGATGCCTCTGCCAGCACCCGGCGATGACGGTCAAGTGCAATTCATGTTCACGGTAGCTAGGCTCACGCCTGGCAGCAGCCAGCCACGCCGCCCAGAGAATAATGAAGAGGAGATGCTCAAATGTATGCAGCTGTACAAACTCGGCGTGCCTCTTTATACCCGTGAGGCGATTCTAAACGCGTACGGTCAGCTGAAGGTCAGCAAACGAGGCGATGTCATCAAGGTCATGGCCATAGACGGCACTAGTGTCGACTTTATCATCAATACTGGCAGAGTCTGGGTTGGTGCCGATGGATATGAGCGTGAGCTGTGCGTGTACTTCCCCAGATTTCTTCAGTCGCACGAGAGAAGAGACACACACACTAACATTTTGTGTGGCCATCGTATGCTAGTGGGAAACCTCGTCTGTGTTTCATGCCCATTCAAAGGCTGGAAAGCGGTGTCATACCCAATCAAGTGTACACCATCCCCTGCAGTATTCGCGTCGCCCACCGAGTCATCACACGCGACCCGATCACCAAGGAGAGATTCGAATATGGGATTACCGCGTTCGAGAAGGTCCGGTTGAACCTCTTCACCACTCTCCACTTCTGGCGGAATAGCCCCTACTACCAGCTGCTCCGGCACCTGCTGGACGAGTACCCCAAGATGCCCCGGATCACCAAGATCATTGGTTTCGACTGCGGCAGTATGTCCCGCGACATGCAAGGCCAGCCATCCAACAACTCCCGTGCTCGCTACCAGCATGCATTTCTCATCGCGCTGAAGGAGTACCTTGACGCCCGCAACTTCGAGAACACTGGGCAGGAGATTCGCGTGTACGTGCAGAATGAGACGTACCTTGAGCGGGATATTGAGGTCATCCGGCAGTTCGGGGTACAGGTGCTACAAGATCCGGAGGGGTTCCTCGTTATCGATGAGGAGACCGTGGTTGTCGCATGTCGACCCGAGTGCCCGGTGAGACAGGTGGTGGCAGACCTGGCGATGCCGGCAATGATGATCTGGGATCATGAGAGAGATCCCACCAAGGTCAACGGGATGCCTGTACAGTGCATGTAAGTTCTCTGCCAGAGTGTTCTGGTGCGCGAACCCAGAGAAGAAAGTATCATAACCGGTTTGTCGCAGGTTTGACCCCTGGTCCACTCGCCTAGACACTATGATGAGGTTCTACCATGTGCAGGACTTTCTCAACGATGAGATCAATTTCGATAAGATGGATGTGTGTATTCGTCGCCCCATGGCAGATGTGTATCACGGCTTGAATGATTCAGGACCTGGCGGCGATGCGAATATTGCCCAGCCAGTCGCGTAGTCCCAAATTGGTGGTGATGGTGGCTAGTCTCTGATGTTGGTGTATCTTGGCGATATGTGCAGCGGGTGTCTTTAATGAAGTTCTTAGGGCAAAACCGGGGATACTGAAAGAGGATGAACATAGGTATGGACCATTCGATATTAAATTTCTAATATTGTTCGTTGCTGGGTGGAACACACACATAATTGGAGAAGTTGAGCTTGGCTCTTCGGCGGACGACGGGTCATTGATGATAATGTGGGGGGTCTTGCCGACTGATTAGTGAGCGCAAGAGTCTAGCCGGAGTCCAGATCTTTGTGAGATAGGTGATGGTTGGGACTGACTATAACCAATATTAATAACGGAGTTGAGTTCTCGAACTAGGGAATGCACACACACATCCCTAGCGGCACCGTAATCCCGGCTAGAGAACCAATCTAGCCGATCTATTGATACACCAGTGATGAGCAGCACACTTTAGGAATTGAATGCGTGTCAGCCTACCCGTAAGCAAACAGCTGGAATTTTGGGGCTGCTAGTCGCTAGGTTCGGAGTGGTCCATTGGAGACCTAAACTTGGGGAACACATTGGGGGCTAGTTAGAAGATATGATGCTTACCAAGTAACTAACTTACTAGGTACTGTAACCATTGAACCAAGTTAGCCTGGAGGTAAGGTGTAGTTCCCGCTACGGTAAGCTTACTCGTACGTAGTACCAAGGTTATCTCCATCGCTTAATTCTAGTGTAATTCTGTGAGTACTAATGAGCAACTGTCTGGTAGCTTTCTCAATCCTATCAAATGTATACACGCTATAAACCATCATTCCCCTTGTACAAACGATCTTATCGCATATCTTCTGGTCGGTTGCGTCGTTCCTGCAGCGGTCGTGGAGATCATCACGTTTTTACTAACCGGGGTTGCTGACCAAGGGAGATCCCAAAATAGCAGCGAGTGCACACTGCGTGCAGGAGTAGTGCAATAGTACGAAGTAGTAGTGGTTAGGGTGTGATAGAAAGCCAGGGGAGGTGCAGAATCCCTGTAATCTCTGTACTGGTAAGTTAGTGGTAACTTAGTGGAAATTCGCCCTTGGCTGCTTGGCGGAGACGCGTTCCTTCTCTTGTCAACTCCGCACGTCTCTTTCACATACTCTGTCTCTCTCTCTCTCTCTCACTTTCATTGGGATCATCCAACACGAAACTCCCCACTGGGTCAGTCCACTAAACATGGTCCATGCTTCTCTAAGCACATTTCACATTTGTTCACCTCTCTTCTTCACCTTGACAAGTATCACGTCATGTTGCCTGATGCCAAGTCAGCCTGTCGCGGCTCCGACGCCCCGCCGACCATCGAGACCCTCCATCATTACCAAGCAGTGGGACGGAATATCAATTGGCAAGCCACGATCGACAACGGCTGGAACAGTCAACCCTCAACCTTGCTCACATCCACCCACCTATAATCCAACCAGCAAGCAACAGCAACTGGTCGATTATGTCGTCCACGTTCTTGGCTCGTAAAACTAAATCCATTCTGGGATGGGCTGCAACTGTTCCACCTGCACAAACCAATAGAATGAAGCATATTTCTCACGATCACCTGCTGCAGCAAGGCATCATCTCCAGCCAGAGACGGCAAGGGACAGTCTGCTCGGGCGATATTCCAGTTTCATCGCCCGCTCGCCCAGCTCTCTCCCAATAGCTACGGGAAGTCGCATCGGACATGTTCGTGCTATTCTCAAATTTTTTCCCGATTGCCGTGGATGCTGGCCCGGTTCTTTACTCCTTCCCCTCGCTTCGCGACTCTATATAAGCCACTCCTGCTCCCTTCCCCCACCTCCCAATTTTCGGGCTCCCCACGTCTTTCTTCTAGCGTCGTGTCGCTCTGTGTCAGATTCTTGCCGGCACTGGTGAGTCAATTTCGGCTGACCCTCTGTTCACCCTAGGCTGATGATTTGCTCACTTGGAACTTTACATAGCCAAGCAGCGTGAAAAATGCGCTCAATTGGTCTTCTCGGCCTCGTTGCCGTCGCACAAGCCGCCTGTCCGTATATGACTGGCGAGCTCACCCGGCGTGATGATTCCGACGCCTCTGAAGCCACTGAGGAGTTTCTCTCCCAGTACTACCTCAACGACAATAACACCTACCTCACCAGTGACGTAGGCGGTCCTATCGAAGACCAGAACAGCCTCAGCGTCGGTGAGCGTGGTCCCACCTTGCTGGAAGACTTCATCTTTCGCCAGAAGATTCAACGTTTCGACCATGAGCGAGTAAGTCTTCATGTCTATCATGGTGATCTAAGCTGACCATATAGGTTCCCGAACGTGCTGTTCATGCTCGTGGAACAGGTGCCCATGGTGTGTTTGTTTCCTACGGAGACTACTCCAATCTCACGGCTGCCTCCTTTCTTTCTGAGAAGGGGAAGGAGACACCTGTGTTTGTACGCTTTTCTACTGTCGCGGGTAGTCGCGGTAGCTCGGACTTGGCTCGTGATGTTCATGGTTTTGCAACGCGTTTCTACACCGACGAGGGCAATTTTGGTCAGTCTTCCGGTAATCTGCTCGAGACCTATACTAACGCTTCACAGATATTGTGGGAAACAATATCCCTGTATTCTTCATTCAGGATGCTATCCAATTCCCGGATCTCATTCATGCAGTCAAGCCTCGGGGTGACAATGAAATCCCTCAGGCTGCCACGGCACACGACTCCGCCTGGGATTTCTTCAGCCAGCAGCCCAGCTCATTACATACACTTTTCTGGGCGATGTCTGGCCACGGTATTCTACGATCGTTCCGATTCACTGATGGATTCGGAGTTCACACCTTCCGCCTGGTTACAGACAGCGGTGCAACTAAACTGGTGAAGTTTCACTGGAAAACATTGCAAGGTAAGGCCAGTCTGGTCTGGGAGGAAGCCCAGCAGGTATCGGGTAAGAATCCCGATTTCCTGCGCCAGGATCTCTACGAGGCCATCGAGGCAGGCCGTTACCCCGAGTGGGAGGTACGTTTCTTACCTTTATTTCGAGGCGACGCACTGCTGACCCACATAGCTCGGCGTACAAATTATGGATGAAGCCGACCAGCTGCGTTTTGGCTTTGATCTTCTTGACCCGACCAAGATCGTTCCAGAGGAATATGTTCCTATCACAAAGCTGGGCAAAATGACCCTCAACCGCAACCCTCGCAATTACTTTGCGGAGACCGAGCAGGTTATGGTGTGTGCTCCCTATCCCGATGTGTAAACCAGCATGCTAAAGGTTCCAGTTTCAACCCGGTCACATCGTCCGTGGTGTCGACTTCACGGAGGATCCTCTTCTCCAGGGGCGTCTCTTCTCCTACCTTGACACCCAGCTGAATCGGCACGGCGGGCCCAACTTTGAGCAACTGCCCATCAACCAGCCTCGTGTGCCTGTCCACAACAATAACCGTGATGGTGCCGGTACGTCTTCTTCCTCATCTATACTACCCTCATAGCTAAACCTGGCAGGCCAAATGTTCATCCCCCTCAACCCCAACGCCTACAGCCCGAACACCCTCAACAGCGGGTCTCCGAAGCAAGCCAACCAGACTGTTGGCAATGGCTTTTTTACAGCCCCCCGGCGTGTTGCCAATGGAAACTACCTCCGCAGCACCTCTCCTACATTCTCTGATGTTTGGTCTCAGCCCCGACTCTTTTACAACTCCCTCTCGCCCGCGGAGCAGCAATTTGTGATTGACGCAATCCGCTTCGAGAACGCCAACGTACAAAGCTCTGTCGTTCGGGAGAATGTTGTTCTCCAACTTAATCGTATCTCCAACGATATCGCCCGTCGTGTGGCCCGCGCCATTGGCGTTAGCCCTCCTGCTCCTGACCCAACTTACTACCACACCAACACCACGGCTGGGGTCGGCAGCTTCGGCACCCCGCTGAAAAAGCTGGACGGCCTCAAAGTCGGCTACCTCGCTTCCGTTCAGAGCCCTTCTTCTATAACCGGTGCCAAAACTCTCACCGACTCCCTGGCCAAGAAGAACGTTGACGTGGTTGTTGTGGCGGAGCGTCTCGCTAGTGGTGTCAGCCAGACCTACTCCGCCTCCGATGCCATTCAGTTCGATGCACTGGTTGTCGCCCCTGGAGCGGAGAGTTTGTTTGCAGCTACCTCGTTGACTGCTCCTCAGGGCAACGCCACGACTTTGTATCCGGCGGGCCGTCCGCTGCAGATCCTCGTTGATGGGTTCCGCTTCGGAAAGCCCGTTGCCGCGCTGGGAAGTGGGTCCGGAGCTCTGAAGAGTGCAGGCATTGCGACCTCGAGAGACGGAGTCTACGTTGCAGACGAGGCATCGAACTCGTTCTTTGATAAGTTCACGGAGGGATTAAAAACATTCAAGTTCTTGGACCGGTTTGCCGTTGATAATTAGGTGATGAGCTGCGGTGGCATCCCTTCTGAGTATGCCTTGGTAGGAGGAGTGGGTGGCATCTGTCTATTCGCCTATATCGGTCGCTTTGTCCATTGCTCGGCTGGGTAACCGCTGCCAATGGTAGATTGATGACGGAAAATAAGCTGATATGGGCGCTGCCCTGACCAACTAATCTTTGATGTAATTATTATTAGCATTAGCCTTGCAAATATGAGCACAACTTCTGTTCTCTACACTGTCGGCCCAAAAGGAAGACGAACTTTATCTTGCTTGAGGTATCGGACAAGGCGCGGTTCTGAATTGAATCGTCCGAGGAATTAACCCATCAATTTAGCACGGCATACCACCATTTATGATAACCTCTCTTCGACCC